ACTGCCAGGGATGGAGCATTCACAACCTCCCTGGGCAACCCATTCCAGTGCCTCATCACCCTAACAGGAAAGAATTTCCTTCTTATATCCAACCTAAACTTCCCCTGTTTAAGTTTTAACCCATTACTCCTTGTCCTGTCACTACAGTCCCTAATGAAGAGTCCCTCTCCAGCATCCCTATAGGCCCCCTTCAGATACTGGAAGGCTGCTATGAGGTCTCCACGCAGCCTTCTCTTCTCCAGGCTGAACAGCCCCAACTTCCTCAGCCTGTCTTCATACGGGAGGTGCTCCAGTCCCCTGATCATCTTCGTGGCCCTTCTCTGGACTTGTTCCAACAGTTCCATGTCCTTTTTATGTTGAGGACACTAGAACTGCACACAATACTCCAGGTGAGGTCTCACAAGAGCAGAGTAGAGGGGCAGGATCATCTCCTTCAACCTGCTGGTCACGCTCCTTTTGATGCAGCCCAGGATACGGTTGGCTTTCTGGGCTGCAAGCACACACTGAAGTCGACCCATGTTCATTTTCTCATCAACCAACACCCCCAAGTCCTTCTCCACAGGGCTGATCTGAATCTCTTCTCTGCCCAGCCTGTAGCTGTGCCTGGGATTGCTCTGACTCAGGTGTAGGACCTTGCACTTGGCATGGTTAAACTTCATGAGGCTGGCATCAGCCCATCAGATATAGAAACTTTAAGATCTATTATTCATCAGATAAGAGGCTCATTTAAATGCCATTTCTAGATAATTTAGGTAGTCCATAATGAATCAGTAGTTCCAATAAATAAACTGGAGGTTGTACTAATTTACTACAAGTATGGCCAGCGCTACTTGTGTTGGGAAATTTAAATTAAGTTTGGTGTTCTTCCTTGCCCCTTTCCATAAAAGGGTAGTCTTCAGACTTCCTTAACCAGATACTTGGCAGTCATGGGAAAATAAAGGGGTTCTTCTCTAGTATTTAGAGGAAAAAAAAAAAAAGAGACATTTTTTGTGTGTTTTTTTTGAATTTTAGTTTTTTCCAGTGAGTTAACAAGTTTTAATAGGTGTGATTCTTCCACATTCTGTTGTTCAAGCCCAGGGACAGCAGTGAAATTGTCTAGGATGAACAAGAGAACCCCGTTTGAAATTGTTTCTTGTTCTGGAGGTAAAGTTAGACCCGGTTTTAAATGTAGCCATTTTTGTCTGTACTCATGTGTTCGTGATCCCCAGAACAGACGATTGGGAGATTACCAAGATTCAGGAGGATTCAGGAGGTTTCAGGAGGAATGTGCTTCATGCACAATGGATCTGTTTCTCTTCTTGCCAAGGCATTGCTCGCTGATGCTGTGTTGTTTTTTTTTAATCCAACTATGACTCTACATACATAGAATCAACATGAATTTTCATGTATTGTTTAGTCATCTTCTGACCTTTTTTAAAGTCTCCTGTCCAGAATACACAGGAACTAACTGCTACTGTTTTATGATATGGCTTGCCCAAAAATCTGTTCTTTCCAATAGATTGCAGATATTAGAATTCAATGAAACTGCATTAATTTTTAAGCTGCTTTAAGAAATATCTCCAATTGTGGTCCCAGATGAAAGCAGTCCCACAGCATGGGAAAGAGTCTTAGAGGATCAGCTCCTGTTATTTCACATGCTTTTTCATAAAGAGTTGGTGGCACCCACTACAGGTTTTATTGAGCAGGGAGATGTTACATTGCACAAGTAGCCAAAATAATAGCGAAACAGAGGGCTCTGAAGGCAGCAATAAGTCCACTTAGGAGGACAGATCCATTTTGCATAGCTATTTCTGAGGCAGAAGCTATATTTAGACATACATTGAGGGATATGGGTATAGTCTTACTCTGCTGAGCAGTGGTATCTGAGTAGGCTGTATCTAGTTATTAGCACCGTCTGGAGCCATAGATGTGTACAGTCATATGAGGCAATTACAACTAGTGCACAGTTTTCTGTCCTATGTATTAAGGACTCAAGGTAAATTTTACATACCCTTTTTAACAAGTGGAAAAAATAAGGGAGTTAAATATCTTCCAGGATCTTGATATTTCTGGGGTTCTTGATAATGCATGTTCCTATCCTGTTTATTATCCTGTTTGTATGCAAAGCAAGGGCTATGTTGTCCAAAAATCTTTCTCCACATTTTGTATATAGTGAAACTAATTTAATAATAAAGCCTGAAAAATCCAGGAGGTATGAGACCAAACAGCAGTTTCTTTTGAATGAATAATCACAGTTGGACCAGTTATTTATAGGCTTGGCACTGATGAGTTGATATGGCAAGCACATTAACAGCAAACAGAAGGAGCTAAATTGGCTAAAGGTTTCTGAACGGGGATGACTTTTCTGTTATATATGTGAGAGAGGTTCCAAGAATAAAAAATGTGCCCTTTTTCAGCCTGGGGACTGCTGTAAGCAGGGCTGGTTGTAATTAATCTTTTATATGATGACTTGTGTGTTTCCCTGCTGTCAATGTGCTTAAGCTGTCCTGCTGTAAATTACAGTGATGCAGAGAAAAATAATCATATCGGACTAAGGAGAACACCAGAAAAACCCTCTGATGATATGTTTTGGAGCTTATTCTCCTCTGCAAGATGAACAGAGAAGTTTCACTCATAATTCCTGTGGCATGTGTTTGGGAAGCTTACAATTCAGTAGCAAAACACTGCTGTCCAGAATTCTGCAGAACTGGAGAGGAAATGCTGAACCTACACATATCCATTGTCTGAAAAAATTAGAGCATAGATTCATTATATTAATGAGAGAGAGAGAAAGGAGAAGGCATTCTTCATATCTGATTGTGTCAGCAATGCCCTAGCTCTCTGCTTTGCTGTAACTTCTGCTGATGCGGCAAGTATAATTAGGTTCAGTTTACAATATCCTGCTTGTTTTCATGTCATCTGGGGAATAAACTAACAGTAAAAGGGAAAAAATGTACAAGTATTTTTTATTACACTTTATTAGTCCCTCTTGCAACATTGATGGAGTTGTTTCAACTTGCCTCTCCTCACCACTGGGCCCAATTTTCACTTGAGTTGAGACGAGAGTGTTCAGCCTCTTGTAAGGCTGCCTCCCTGAGTCCTTTAAATGTGCAGTGTAAGTTGTCATCTTCTTTTTATTTTTAAGTGGAGGTGGGATCCCTTCTGTTTTTTAGAAACTGAAGAGATGGCCCTGGGATCAAACTGTGTGTTTTGGTACCAGTGTAAATGAGGAGCTCATAAGAAATGTGAAGCAGGTGTTCTTGGAACTTTGTCCTGCAAAAAGCCAAATCACTTCCCTTCATTTCCACATGAATATCCTGCCAACTAAATTACTAGCATTTCAGCTGCTTTCTTAGAAGATAAATGCGTGACTTGATTCTACTTTACAGTACATGACAAAGTCCCCAAGGGAAATAGAAGGGTTCCAACAGCAGCTTTTAGTGCTGGGCATGTTAAGCAGCATGTCAGATAACTCGTCTGAAGCTATCAAAGAACACAAGTGGATTTTTATTTTTTTTTTCATTAGGGAAAATTTTAACTTTTATTTGATTTATTTATTAAAACACCTTCACTTTCTACATTATATTCCATTACATATTGTTGACTTATGCAATTTGCTGAAAGGCTAGGAACTAGTAGGCTTAGTAACTTTTATGCACTACAGTCTACCTACCTTAGTCTTTTTCTAGAAGGATTTCTAACAGTATGAGGAAATAACTCACTGCTTCTTATTACTTGGCAATGTTTTTGCTTGAGAACAATACTTATGTGTGTTTTGGTCACTGCCAGGTCATGAAAGTCCTTCTGGAAGTCGTTGTGTGATTTCAGAGTTTATACGACCCCTTCAAATATCTGGAGACAAACCAGAACAATTGTCTGTCAAACCTACATTCCTGTCCAAGTCAAGATCTGGTACCCCAAGATGCAGATTTGATTCAGACGTGAGTCTTTGTCCTTTAAAATTTGTTACTGAAAATATATGTTATGGGGCCAAGACTTCTCCACTCCAGGGGACCTGTGCAGATTGGTCCACCTGCTTTTAGAAGGTCAAGACATGAATGTTCTAATTTTCTGAGACAGCTTGGTTACCATGGGAATTAACTTGGTTAACCAGTGGGAATTAATCTGATATTTTCAAAGAAGTCTTAGCTGATACCCTAGTTACACACCATTAAAAAATGGGTGTGAGAGAGCTTTGAGATTCTGTGAAAACCTCAGCCTCCACTGTTGTACTGCTTCTGTGCATAGTAAGTCAGCATTTCAGTTTGTGTTTTTTTTTTGGTGTATGTCTGTGTTATGCAGCTTTATTATTATTTTATCTGCCAAAAGGTGTGATTTTGATACAGCCTGTACAGGTGAAAAAGAAGTTCCATGCAGTGCCCTGTCCAGGCAGGTACTCTCTGACAGTGAAGTAGCTCATTCTGCAGGATTTCTTTCTAGCAGTCTCCTAAACTGATATTGAGCCAATAACCTGGAACTGAAAATTGCAGGATGTGAGCAGGCAGCTATAAGGAAGTGATCTTCAGATTTTACTCTCTACCTTGCTGTCTAAATCCCATTCTTAATCCTTATGAAAGTAAATGAATTGAAACTGTGTGCATACTTTATTTTATATTCATTGCCACTGAACCTATGGAAGTTGGTAAAATGTTTTAAAGTGGATCACAAGCCTGAGTATGGTGCGGGATATTCTTGTACAGTAGGAATTCCATGGGCATATGTAAGGAGAATCCAGAAATAAGTATATGTGTATATTTATGTTTAGCAGCATAGCTGAGAAGTGGGAACATTCACTGCTTTTTGAAGAGGCCACAGAAAAAGCATCCCGAAGTAGTCAAACCAGAAAAGGCAGCGTAACAATGTGACTTACAGAGGCAAAACTAACAGCAAGAAATAGAAGTGCACTTCAAATTTAACTCCCTCTTTCTATTATTTTTGGGTTATCCCACAGAGAATGTCAAGCCCTCTATTGCAGAATTGTTCATTGTGTGTCTTCTAGAGTGTAATTATGTGATGCATACTTACATTATGCAAGCTCACAGAAATTAAGCTCCATTCTTTCAGGGGTATCCAGGACCCAGGGGAAGAGTGTATGAATAAAATCCAGAAATGGGGCATAATGCTGTGAAGTGTGAAATAAAAGCAATTGACGCTCTGTGAAAATACATCTGCAACTTCCCTGATTGTTACTAGTAACAAAGTCTTCTAGAACAAGCATTATCGGGTTAGTTAGGAGCTTTGTGACATGCCTGTACAAAGTTTTCAGAATGGTAACACTTGACAATGTCTGCATCACCAAATGCTACACAGGGGGGAGTACCTGTTAGCTGACTATTACTGTCTCATCGCTGGAAGTGGAGTTTTGGCAGAATAGTGTGTGATGTGCTAACCCAACAGGAACAATGACTTGACTCAGTAATTTTCTGGTGCACTTTTCTTCCATACAAAACCAGGCAGGGACCAGTTTAGGCCTGAAAGTTGCAGTTCAATATTCACATTTTCCAGATCATAAAATTATGTTCAATTTTTCCCTTATTTGATCCCACTGTTAAAACTAGTATTTCTATCTTGAAGTTCTCTCAAGCTCAGGTGAAAAGTTGTTAATTTTTCCTGAAAGAGTTCACAGCATACTGTAAAACAAGGAAAGTGCATTTCTCTCTGTAAAAACTCTACTAGGCTCGAAGCATAACAGAAAGCATTGCTATTTTACCTAGAGATACCTGGCACAGAGCTAGAATAGGTGGAGTGTGTGTTGATTCAGCATTACAATTTAATCTCCAGGGTTTGTAAACTGGATTTCTAATGGAATAAGTGTGTGGCCTTGCAGAATTGAATTAAATGTGATGGTAAATTCAGAGGAAATACATTGCTTCTTTCAGTTAGTGGAAGACGGAATTCAGCAGACACTGTTGAGGATTGGACTGCCAAGGGGGGGTATATCTTACATGATTCTCATGTTTCGAGATGTTTGGAGCACCAGCTCTAAACTCAGTATTTGTCTTAAGTGCTTAGTCACTGGTATGAGGTTTCTACTATTACTTCTGATGAAAACATTAGAGTATCACCCTAGGTTGTCTGTGTGATCATGTTGCTGTATTATGCCTGGAAACACTAGGCATACCACTTACAACAGGTCATCTTGGAATAACTGAGTTTACTATACTTTAATGAAGACTTTAGTAAAAACTTAGAAGGGTGAGGTGGTCAGTAAGACTGGTATGGTAAAAACATGTCTTTAGTAGGCAGCGTGAAAGGGAATGGTGTGGTCAGCATCACATCTCCTTCAGCCATTTCCACTGACCTATTTAGCAAGCTTTTGAGGAAAACCACCATCCATTCTTAGGCAGGTGGTCTGACACTCTAGCAAGATATCAAGGAATAGGTCTTTGTCCTGTTAGAATCTGACTTGCAGTTCCTCTGTAGCCTAAGCTCTTCCAAGTAAAATTAACCATGTTAGAATTGAATTTATTTATTCTTAAATGTTGCATGTTTGCTGTGTGATTTCTGTCACCCATCAGGAAAACAGTGCTTTTTGAAACACCGTTGTATTTTTTTTGTTGTCTTTACAGATGGATAATGATCAGAATTCCAATACCTCAAAGCAGAGATACTCTGGGAAAGTCCATCTTTGCATTGCCCGATATAGGTAACCCCCCTAGCTCATTATTTCTATAATACATGTTTGTAATATTCAATGTTTGGTTTTGCTTCACTTTCATTCATGCACTAAATTATTACCAGGAACCAATGTTATGGATGGCAGACCCCTTTCCTGTTTGCAGTGGCTGCACAGTAGTGCCATTTCCATGTGCTTTTATTGTCAGAGAAAGTTTAGCATGACATGCCTCTTTTAGCCACTCCTGTATTTCTACCCTTCAAGGTCTAAATGAGATGAGGTATACTTCCTACTTCATGGAGGATGTCTCAATCTGTTCTTATAAATTGCTTTTTCATCAGGGCAAGAAAGATTTGAAAGTTCTTCTTATCTTTATTTTGCCCATTAAAATTTCAGATCTGAAGTACTGTGATAATAAAATTTTCTGTGACTTAACAATTTCTTAAAGGATGGATATGGATTTAAATACTTTGTAAGAAGTTTTTGTCTATGAGTACCTTGTTTTAGGTGTAAACTCCCTGGTTTTGTCTCTGTTAAACTTGTCTCTGTTGAAGTTAAACTTGTATAAAAGACTGTCTGATAAATGGAATATGGGTACAGAAAAAGACCTCCACAACAGAGTTTGCTTTAATTCACTTTAAAAAAAGAAAATACTGTGGCCAGTGTATTCCAAGAGTCCCAGCTAAGAAATGTGTGAGCAACTTATATAGAAAAGGACGTGGTTTTAAGTGTGGAGCACTTTAGCAAATAGGTCATGTTTCATGGCAGCCTGCTGGTGGTACAGTTGCAGTTCACAACAAACTGACCTAGACTGAGCTCAGAATGTATGTTTCAGAAGGGAAGCAAAAAGATTGAACTGAGGAATTACCATCCTGTGCAGGCCTAGAACTGTACACCTTTTTTCTGATTAATATGCAGTTGTGTGGGGGTTGTAAGTGAACACACATTTTCCGTCTGTATTCCATTGCAGTTATAACCCTTTTGATGGACCAAATGAAAATCCAGAAGCAGAGCTCCCCCTTACGGCAGGAAAGTACCTTTATGTGTATGGAGATATGGATGAAGATGGCTTTTACGAAGGTACTTTTTTTTTAATCTGTGAATTCATGCTAATTCATGCAGATTGAAAGCAGCTCATCTGTCAAACACACTCCTGATTCCTTCCTTCATCTACTACCAAATAAGTTGCTAAAATTATTCCGTCATCATTGTGTCAGTTAACAGAGTTTCTTCACCAGCAAAGCCGCTCCTTGCAGGCAAAGCTAATTATAAGATATTTTATATTGTCAGCTTTTCCTACTGGCAAGCTTTAAGTCGACAAGAAAGCTTACTGGCATTTCTGGGTTTTGCTTCACTGAGCCTTTATATTCTGAAACTGTGACTGCTGTTTATATGCAGTTTTCACTTATATCTTCTTCCTTATCTTGTCTCTTGCAAGACACTGACATGCAAAAGATATGCTCCTTTTTAATGGCATTGTTCTTTCTTACCAGGGGAACTTCTAGACGGACAAAGAGGACTAGTCCCTTCAAACTTTGTGGATTTTGTTCAAGACAATGAGACCCGATTATCAAGCACATTAAGCAGTGAACAAGATCAGAATTTTATCAGCCATTCGGGTCCTGTTTTGGAAGGAGATCTCTTGGAGATAAGTCCACCCAGTCATGTAGACTCTAGTGTAATCAGCAATGGCGCAGGGACTCTGGATGTGAACATTGATGAAATTGGAGAAGACATTGTGCCTTATCCTAGAAAAATCACCCTTATTAAACAACTAGCCAAAAGTGTCATTGTGGGCTGGGAGCCACCGGTAGTGCCACCCGGATGGGGAACCATTAGCAGCTACAATGTTCTGGTTGACAAAGAAGTACGGATGAACATAGCCTTGGGAAGCAGAACGAAAGCTCTTATAGAAAAGCTTAATATTTCTACTTGTACATACAGAATATCAATTCAGAGCATCACAAACAAGGGTAACTCAGATGAACTGCAGTGCACTTTGTTAGTTGGGAAGGATGTCATAGTGGCCCCCTCTAATCTTAAAGTGGACAACATAACCCAGATTTCTGCTGAGCTGTCCTGGCTCCCTACAAATAGTAATTACAGTCATGTGATCTTTCTTAATGAAGAAGAATTTGACATTGTCAAGGCTGCTAGCTACAAGTATCATTTTTTTAATTTGAAGCCCAATATGGCCTACAAGGTGAAGGTCATGGCAAAGCCCCATCAGATGCCCTGGCAGCTTCCCCTGGAACAGCGAGAAAAAAAGGAGGCCTTTGTGGAATTTTCTACATTGCCAGCAGGTTTGATATTTTCCTCCCTGCCCGAAAATGCTTGTTGTGTTTCTTTGAAAATACTAAATAATTTAACATTTAGCTTTATGTTGGAATGCCTGTCACTTTCATGACCAGACTGGGGATTAATAGTTTGCTTTATGGTATCTAAAACTAATTCTGTCCTGCATTACTCTCTTCTTTGTTCTGACTGGAACATTTTGGGGAGATCACTAGGGAAAGCCATGCTTACCATCATTACAGATTACACACTGTTTTATCAGGGTAATCTCCATTTGTATTTAATTTGTCCAGTTACAGTATTTCTGGTAGTAATTTATTTTCATTGGCATGAACAACACTAGGAAAATTATTACTTGTTAAGTTATTACTTGTAAAGTTATTACTTGTGACACATTATTTGCCTGTTGTTTGTGTGTCTTAAAGCACTTTTTACTGAAAATGAACACAGACATCTTAGAGAAGCAACAGTCATTTAGGGGATGTAAATGCATTTTGATTGTGAAGTTGCAATCACATTGTACAATTTGAATTTGTAAAGATAGCAAATCGGCTGTGTTTTGGAAAGTGCTTTTGCATTAGGAATGTTGATAAGTGTTAACAGTCGTTTCCCAGTATTTGAGAACAGTGAAGTAATGTTGAAAACTAGAGCAGAAATAATGTAATGCATTTAAAGGATAATCTCACAATTTTGGGGGTGTACCTGAAAAATTTGATCATCTCTCCTTATAGATCCATCTCACCAAGGTCATCTAATCAAGGGCAAGTAGAAAGTATATATTCGGACTTTCAGAGCACTGAATGTCTCTGAAGCAGGGATAGTCAAATACAAGTGACTCCTGGCAAGTAAAATTTCAACAGCATGTACCGTGCTATGGCTTAATTGACTCCCTGCTGGGATTTGATTCTAGCAAAGGGACAGGAATTAGTTCTAGTCTCTTCCTTAGCTTGCGTGACTTACGTGTAAGGAGACATGCAAGAGAGTGATGCTGGTTGAGTAGAGAGGGAGTTAAGCTTGTATGTCTACTGCTTTTGATGTTGTTGATTTATAGTTCCAGTAAAAATGTTCTCAACTCAGGCATTCACTCTTTTGTCTACAATCATTTCAGTGAGATAAGTGTAGTGCTATTACAGAATCTGCTTGGAGGGGAGCATGTTTTAAACTTGTGTTGTGTGGCAGTCGGGAGATACTGCCTACATGGTGGCTTGAACTTATTAGCTATGTTGACTTTGTTATTTGGGAAAGGAAGGCCTTTCCAGTGATGTTTTTTCAGGCCAAACACTTCCCATGCTGTATCTCCCTCTAGTTGCTGAAGTATGCTAAAGCAGTAAATGAGCAAACTCACAGCAACCAAGGTTTGCATTCTTCTGGCTGTTACACAGAAATGCTTACAGCTGAACCCTGCTTCTGAAGTTTTAGCATGAAACACTTCTCAAGATTTGACTGTTTAATACAACAGGATGCCTGGAAACTAATGACTTAATAATTTCTACGATATTTTTACTTTGACTTTCTGTCCAAAGTAGAGCTATTTTTAGTAGGGTAATAATGTCTTTTAAGTAAGGATGTATTTCAACACTAATATGTTACAAATTCCTTAAAAGGTTAGTAGGTGTCTTTTTTTTTTTCTTCGGTGCAAACACATTGAATCCAGTCATCCTTTAAACCAGTGTGCTGCTCGTTGAAAAGGTTAAAGTTCTGGCTTGCAGTTCACATGGCGCCTTAACATCAATGTGCTTCTGGCCTATAAATCATTACTTGGAGTCACACATGGTGCAGAGACTTTTCAAAGTGATTCCTGAGTATGTAGGGTTCATTCAGTGCAGAGATTTATACCAAAAAGTCATTTGCTGTCAGCTGCAGCAGTTTTCCACCAGCAGTGCCACTCCAGGGCCTTTCTCTCCGTCCTTTTTCTGTTAACTTCTGTATTATGGGTAAGTAACAGTTATGCAACCTGGAGTGATAAAAAATAGGTCCACAGGAAGTTCCAAGTACAGACCATCTTGTAAAGAAGTTTAGCTTACTTAATGGCTGTAAGCTGAGGGCCAGTTCCTGGCTCCATAACTTACTGAGCCTATGCTTCTGTAAGTGCTTTTGAATCTGTATAGTTACTGTTCTTGTCTTTCATAGGTCCTCCGGCTCCACCTCAAGATGTTACTGTACGGGGTGGGTCCACCCCAGCAACCATACTGGTGTCCTGGAAACCACCAACTCTGACAGCAACAGGGACCTCCCATGGGGCCAATGTTACAGGCTATGGTGTTTATGCAAAAGGTCAACGGGTGAGTTCTTTCAGCGTTATAGTGACCATCCACATTACGTGAATTTCAACTGACAGGTGAAGGCAACAATAAGCATGCGACAGCACTTGGATGTGTGCAGGTTTTTCTCAGCTTTCAGTAGAACCTACTCTTGTTTCTGTGTATCTATCTTGCTCATTAGCTTCCTTTCTATAATCACTTCATCTTTTGGACAAATGGATTGAAAGGGTTAAAGATAACTGGTGCTAACTGGTGGGGGCTGTTGCAGCCAGCCCACTCTGTGTTGGCCATAATTCTCTCCATGTTAAGACTTGAAAGGTTGTATTTTAGTGGGGTTGGAGGGGAGGGAATTGGTTATCTTCATGCTAATATGTTGCTTGTTTACTTCAGGTGGCAGAGGTGATCTTTCCAACAGCAGAGAACACATTGGTGGAGCTAATGAGACTAAGGAGTTTGGAAGCCAAGGAAGTTACTGTTCGAACACTCTCTGCACAAGGGGAATCAGTGGATTCTTCTGTTGCTGCCATTCCATCTGATCTACTGGTGCCTCCAACCCCTCACCCCAGAACTGCTCCCAAATCTAAGCCATTAGCAAGTGCCGGAGCCCCAGAAACCAAAGAAGAACATTTAGGTCCACATTTGAAAATGGATGAGTCATGGGAGCAGACTCGTTCGGCATCCCCTGTTCATGGACACATGCTTGAGCCCCCTGCTCCCAACTTCCACAGCCCGCTCCAGGGGAGGAGGTCTCCATCACCCAACCGAATACTCCCTCAACCTCAAGGCACGCCTGTCCCAAATACTGTTGCAAAAGCCATGGCAAGAGAAGCTGCACAACGAGTTGCAGAAAGCAGTAGGGTAAAGGCAAACTTTTTCTTTCAAAAAGGCTTTTTTTGTTTAGGCTGGCTTTATTCATTGTGGTACTTTCCATCAAAGAATTTTTTCATCATATGCTTTAAGGAACAGCTAATTATTCCTAAACCCCAAAGATCTGTAGTTTGAGAAGAAGCAGTGTGCCAGAATTCTGTGCCATCTTCCACAAATATGCTTGTAACCATAAAGGTCAGCTTTTGATTGGCATAGGAAGCCCATAACAGTACTAGAAATGTTGTCTCCAAAAATGCAGAACCTTAGTTCTGGGCAGGAGGTAGTAATCATCAAAGTTTGTGCTTGGATCCTGCAGGACTCAAAAGGGAGGCTTATGCTTACGTGAGAAAAGTCAGCCAAGTTCAGAAGTACTTTGAAAGAGACCAAAGCAATAAAGGGCAGTGTAAAAATGGGTCCCTAAATAGACAGCTAGACAAAAGTCCTGAGCAGACTTACTGTGAGAGCTAATCTTTTTGACAATTCACAAAGAAAAGTCTAATAAGGGAATCTAACCAGCAGACAGAGACATGCTTGTATGCTAAACCCAGCTGAATAATTCTGGGTCAGTAAGGTTTGCTGAATACATCTATATGCATGTGTATATTTCTGGCTCTTGTTTATAAATAAAGCAGCCTGGCATAAATGTAATAGAGGGAGAAAAGGCAATTTGTTTGGCATTCTGAGGTGAAAGTTGATTTAAAAACTGTATAGGGAAAGAGAATTAAAATACTTCCTCTGGTTTTGAAAATTGCTGACATAACATGCACTGAACCGTGTTTAATTACGTTAATTTTAGTGATGCTTGAAACGTTTAATTCAGGGATCTGGACAGAATTTTACAGGTGGATTCACTCTAAATTAAGTCAAATAGTGCCAATGGTATTTGTCATGTTTAGTGCCCAAAAGTAGAAGTTCTTCCCTTGCAGTAGGCTGCTGCAGAAGAAGCAAAATGCTGTTGTAGTGACTAGGCTGTCTCCTAAACCTTTGTCAAGGGGAAATTAGCATCTTTGTTAGCAGCCTCTGACTGTAGAATATTGAGAACTTTGACGTAAGTGGTACAGGGAAGAAAGCTGGCAGCTGAGTTGATGCTCACATAAAAGTGTATAATTGTTTATGAGCAAGGATAATACAAGCAGCAAAAAATTCTTGAAAACTCAGGTTACAGTCAGGAAACCAAGATTGCTTTAAACCATGAGTGTGTTTAAATGTTGGGTTCTTGAGTCCTAATGTCTTATATTTGCCGTTTCTTCCACTGATTGCAGGAACCGTCTGCTTCACAATTTTCTTGTTGCTTTCTAGATGGAGAGGAGGAGTGTTTTTAGTGAAAGGAGTAACGTAGTCCAGTATGCCAACTCAGATGAGGAGGAAGATGGCTATGATTCTCCTCATGTCAAAAGAAGGGGGGCTTCAGTTGATGATTTCCTGAAAGGGTCAGAACTTGGAAAGCAAGTGAGTAGCCTGGTTGTGTTACTGTCTCAGGTGTCTCACATGAAACAAGGGCTCAATGAAATTAAATTCTTTGAAGCCTAAAAAGATGAAGCTCTGTTATGTACTAGGAATTTCGTCAAAGCTAAATGTGAAATCTCTTGTGGCTGCAAGTATTCTCAGGTCTGATTAGGTTTCAAATTTAGTTTTCATGTAAGGCTGAAAGAATTCCTCATTGCTTTAAAACACTGTGTCAAAAAATGCACTTTGAGAGATAGTGCTGAAATTATGACTGGCCAAACAGCTACAGTGTGTTAAGTGTAACTTGATTATTAGACGTTTATTTTATAGCTTCACCTACTTGTATTTTAATTGCTCATTTGCATTATTTATGAAAAATGCTCAGTCTACCACTGGGTTTGTTAGGCAAGAAGTAATTGGAGAAAATTGGAGAAATCTCATCTATGATGGCCTTCTCCATAAGAAATTATTAGCTGGCTAATTTCATTATAATGGCCATGTGCTGCCAGTATCTTCCAGAAGGAACTGCTATTCCATGTGCTGATTCCCTATCTAAAGTCTTTTCTTCACTACTACTGGGGGAGGAAGGAATGCAGTAATTTCTAGAATTCTAGTGCTTCTAGAATACCTGATCAAATATTCCTCTGCAATCTGACAGTCAGGTGACTCCATTTGAAAATTCAGAAATATTAAGTTCTGTTCATGGTCTGATTTGTTAGATGTTTGCAGAGGCCACTCCTGTTTGAGAGAATGAAAGCTTCAAGTTTCATTAGCTGGCTATATCACACAATGGTGGTAACATCCTGCAAGAATTAAATGCTGATCACTTTTAAATTACAATGTGATGTAACAAGCATCTGTGAAGAGCAGGTGATACGAGAATTATCTTAGGGCCTTTACAGTTTGGTCAGCAAGTGCACTGATGCATGAAGGACCTCATGATTTAAGAATCAAGGAATTCAATCAAGACTAAAACTAGGTTGGGTGCTGTGAGTGCAGACATCCTTTTTTGTATCACCTATGGGATTAAGATTGGATTTCTTGAGTTGGGAGCTTAAGTGGGCAAAAAAATTGAAATCTGGTCTTTCCACTAGAACAGACCAGCAAGCTGCATGCTGTAATTTATATGTAGCTATTAGTCTGCTATGCAAACCTAGGATGTGCTCTAGTCCTCATTGGTGTTAAACAAGGATTTTCAGCTTTACAGTCAGTAAAGATTTTTTCTCTTTCATCCTGTCGATTAGCCTCACTATTGCCATGGTGAAGAGTATCATACAGAGAGCAGCAGAGGTTCTGACTTGTCTGATATTATGGAAGAAGATGAAGAAGAGCTGTACTCAGAAATGCAGCTGGAGGATGGAGGAAGGCGACGAGTTAGTGTGACTTCACACAATGCACTTAAGGTAAGTAAGTGTGGCTGTAGAGAAACCTTGGGAGGACCTCCATGCTTTGATTCTTTGAACATTTCTGTTAGTTATGGATTTTGCAGACCATTATAAATCACACTGTTTGGTAGTCCTAGAACTGGGGTGAACCTTGTTTATGATGTCATTGTTTATGATGTAAAGTAATACATGTAATTGCTTTTGGGTTTTGCATTATTTGATAGCTGATCTTTTAACTAACTGACTGTTTTCCTGTATGTAATTGTTGAAGTTGCAATTTCTGTTCTATACTTGGGGACCTTTCCCATGTCCACACAACAATATATTACAACATGTGCTACCCAGACAGTGAGCTGTTTCTGAGCAGGGAGTTTTATATAAACAGCCATGCATACAGTAAAAGAACAACTTAAGTTTTAAATGTCTGAGTAATTTGTCTCTGTTCTAGTACTAGTCCCATCTCCTCCACAGGCTTTAAAGCATGCTTGTAAGAAAGGGAGTTGGGTCAGCTTTGTTTGAGAAACGCTTTATTAGCGATTCTTGTGCTCTAAGGAATCACAAGAGACAGGAAACACCTATCAGAAATATTGCTTTAACACTGCACAGCAATGTTCATCCTGAAAGACAGCTTCAACATAACAACTAAAGCATACTTAGAATGTTGAACCTACCTAATACAGAATATATATTTCCCATAGTATATTAATACATGTAAATTGTGTTTGCTTTTAATGTGTCTAGCAATTACACTAAATCGTGTTTTTGTAGAAAGCTGCATGACTTGAACTACAGGGAAACTCGGGTTGATTTTTCATCCTGTATGCTCTTACTTAACTAAAATCCAATACTAGTTTCTCCTGCATACAAGAATTTTGACCATTCTTGTAACTGTTTTCATTCAGTTCTTTGATACTGTCATCTGGAATGAGACAGGTACTTCTGAAAAGAAAAAATAATCTATTACTCTGCTAATATAAAGGTTGAAAATTAGATCTTAACGCATGCCTCTTCTGTTCCCTTACTCTGGGAAAAAGTGAATTATCCATACACTGTTCTTGTTCTTTGTGCTTCAGAAAGTATATTTACTTCTTGGTTTTAAATTAGTATTGCCAATGTTGCTATTTAAATGAAAGGTTCAGACTGTTAATTGGTGTAGTAAATCATTTCAGACCTGTTCAAGTCTGCAGGCAGACTTCTCTCATGTAGTAGTGTATGGGAAGGGTACGGTTGGTTGACTCA